CTGTTGTATTTCCAGTTTCCACAAGGAAATACACAAAGGAAACATTGTACTGCTTTCTTCTTCAGGCAAAAACTAACAAGGAAATAGCCTAATGAAATCAATGAGCAGTTTCCTATAATTTTTTTTAAGAAAAGAAAAATAAAATCTAATTCCTAGGAGCATGCATTTGCAAACCTAGATGGAATTAAGAGGGCACAAAAACACATTTCTATATGAACTAGATAAATTTTAATATTGTCAGGGTTAGATTTTACTAGACAAGAACTATGTAACAATATAATTGAGTGATGGCAGTACTTCAGAATTCCTCATTCTATTTCATAAAAGTAATTAGCTTGCTAGCATAGTAGGGGCTAAAGAAGCTATGAGTGTTTTGAAAAATAATTTTTACTTCAATAGCTCAGGAAATAATAGCAAGAATTGACAAATGGGATTAAGTGACAAAGTTTGTCCCTAGCAAAAGAAACTGTCAACAAAATGAAACACAGCTGGGCCCTGGTAACTCATGCCTGTAATCCTAGCTACTGTGGAGGCTGAGATCTGAGGATTGCGATTCAAAGCCAGCCCGGGCAAGGAAGTCTGTGAAACTAAACTAAGTGAAACTAAAGGAAGTCTACTAAACTACCAAAAACAAAACAAAAGCCCCAGAAGTGGAGCTGTGGTTTAAGTGGTAGAGAGGTAGCCCAGAGCAAAACAAGCTCAAGGTCAGAACCCAGGCCCGGAATTCAAGCCCCAGGAATTTTCCCCCCTCACCCCTTGCAAAAAACAAAAAAACAGCAAGGAAGACAAAAAAGGCCTTAGAAATTCAAATAGTAGAGCAGTAATCACCTAGCAAGCAAGAGGTCCTGAGTTCAAACACTAGCTCTGTCAAAAAAGAAAGCTTTAGTAAGGAGATATGGAGACCTGGAATCTAGTGTAGTCAAATTCCACTTCTTTAAAGACTGGTAACATCAATGGTACAAACATTTACTTTTACATTATAGGCCTCCTACTTCTATATACTTCATAAGCATCTTTTACCTGGGCCTCACGAGGTGGTGAAAAATCATCATGCCTATTTTATGGATAAAAGAATAGGGTTTAGTGAGGTGAGGTAACAGATGAAAAGGAGTTCAATTTCCTCTCATTCTTCCTGTCAGATTCCATATCAAGGGCTTTTAGCCAATTAGCCACTGATTCTCAAGAGCATGGGAAGTTTACACATTTTTCTCTAGTGGCTAGTTTTAAAGGCTTATTTCTAGGGGGGAAAAAAAATCACACATTCTTTGAAGTGAGGCCCAAGAATATAAATTTTTGAAAAGTCAATTCTGATACACATTGAAATTGGCCAAATACTGTACTGTCACTGCTTCTCAGTGTACACAATAATTTTCTCTAACAGTTGCAAGTGATTCAGTATTGATTCAGCATCCTTCACCATCATTTATTCTACTAATAGCCTACATGTTACATAGCAATTGAGTTGACGTTAAAGTAACCCTGAAGAAAACAAAGGAGAAAAGTACCATTCTACATTAAAAAATATATACCTTTAAAATGTGCTAAAGTAGAGTTGGATTCTGCAAGCCATGTGGAAAACTTTTAAATTCATGCCTTGAAGGCTGTGTTTCCTAACCTCTGCTGCTTACTACCTAATATTCTTACTTTTTGTTTTTGTGCCAGTACTAGGGCTTGAACTGGATCTGGGTGCTGCTGCTTACCTTTTTTGCTCCACTACTGTTTTATTGACGATCGATTAGAGATAAGAGTTCCATGTGCTTTTTCTGCTCCTGCTACTTTGAATCATGATCCTCAAATCTCAGAAGTCTAAAAAGCTAAGATTATAAGTATGAGCCACTGGTGCTTGGCTTACTACCTAAGACTTTTGGGGAAAATCACTGGATTTTGAATTTCTGCAGCCATAAAAAGGGATGGTGTTTCATAAGGCTTCCTCCCATTCTCTACTTTTCCACCATCTTCCAACCCAGCCTCTGAAACCCAAGAGGCCATAACTTTGAAAAGGCTACCAGGTAGAAAAGGGGAGGGAAGGAATCTACCTTACTCCACACTGTTTCCTCCACTCTTGACCAAAAAATTAAGCCTTAAGTCTCCAAGGTTATCAATCATTATACAAACATATACTCCCTTCATGCTCTGTATATCCGTTTAGCTACTGCTATGGGTGCCTTCTCTCTCCCTAAAACTACTCTTGGGCTAGAGGAATCTCCACTGCATGACTTCCTTTAGAAGCAACAAGCTCCTTTCTGAAAAATCTTCCTCCTTCTCAACTACATTAACTTGGATTTGACTACTTGGGGAAACCACATATCCTGAAAACCTCTCAAACAACAATCACATTTTCTTCCACACAACATCTGCTCTAAGTCATCCCTCTTTCAACTCACCAGCATTATTAATTCATGCAACAGGTATCTGATCTTTACCTCATGTGGGACGTCAAAACAGCGAAAATCTCAAATTAAGGAGCTTAAAATCAAGTGAAGCAGCAGACATCATAGGCTAAGATTATAGGCGTGAGTCACTGGTTCTCAGCTTATTACCTAATACTTTTTGGGAATTACTGGACTTTGAATTTCACAGATACAGAAGTAAAACACATAATATTACTTTTAGGGTATACTTTTAAAATGGACATTTAGAAATCTATGGGATATACTCAATAAGTAATCATCAGATTGGGATAACTGCATTTCTGTCACTTCAGAGAGACCATTTCTTTAGTTAAGGACATTCAAAATAGCTATTAGCCTTATTCAATTTATAATTTTTGATTTGATGAAGAATTAACGATAAAGCAAGAAACCATTTTGTGAGTAGGTGAAATACTTAGTTTAGGTATCACGCGCGGTCAGTAGTACTTTAAGAGAAAGCCTGAAGGACAAGGAGTCAACTCGGCCAAGAATGAGATGATTAATATTTTAGAATCAGAGAAAAATTGGGCCAGAGATCCTTTCTTCCAGGTCTTTTTAGAAACCCGTTCTATTATGAATACTGAATCTGGCCGCCAGCACACTTAAACACCTACTTCCCAAATCATTAGTGAAAACCTACCACAACTTACTTTCCTTATCCATAGCTGGTACCATGGCTTCCACCTTATCCAGGGCTCCAGTCCAGTGACCTAAGATATTCATCGAGCCTCCCTTCTCTCCAACTTCATTTCACTACTTCTGTATATCTTACCTCTCTCATACATACCCAAGTCTTCCTTTTGCCTTCCAATTCCTCAGGCAAAATTCCTTTCACTTTGCATTTCCTAAGACCATGTTTGTGCCAGTGACAACTGCTGGGCACCCAGCCCCCCACTTGGAAACTGTAACTTCGTGCTAAGTTTACAGGGGTCTTCCTCTCCATGGAAAAGTAGTGTGCAACTCTCCATTGTCCCCCACCACCCATTATAACCACCCAGTGCCTTCTCTCTCTTCAACATTGGTACCATATTCTGACATCAGCTTTCCTGAGGCAATGCCATTTCCTTCTTTGTGAATACTACAAACTGCATTCTATCTCCTGATCTAAAGGTTGGATAACTCAAACTCGTCATTTGTTCCCATTCTTCTACTTATTCCTAGGTGGACTAATAACATCCGATGACTTTAAATTTCATAAACGTGTTTACAACTTCAACTCTCTCTTGCCTCAGGATATCACTCTGGTTTATTGCTCTGGCTTAAGGTTACATCTCAGCATCTGCCTCTGAATTCATATGGCTTCTTTTAACAGCACTTACTGGATATTTTATAATTTTATAATTTATATAATGTTTTATGACCATATCATGTCAATTATCCTTAATTATAATTACATATGCCTTTCTTCCAAATTAAGGCATACCACAGCTTCAACAATTAGGACTAAGACACATCTCTTGGTGCCCCTAGTCCCAACAGCAGCCTCTAAGGTCTCCACAAACTCCCTCTGGCTGCTCTTGAGATGTGATCTCATCATACTCTTTGTTTACCAGGCTCTAGTCTTTCTGGCTTTTTTTTTTTTTACTTCCTTAATTTAGTACAAGCTCTTTCTAGAACTTGTAATGGTCTTTGCCTATGCCAGTCTCTAGTCTTTACCTAGCTAATTCCTCCTTTATGTCTTCAGTTAAATATAACTTCTGTGGAGAATTATTATCACTCATCAGACACCCTGTCTCTTTCCTTTGCAGCACTGTTTTCCTTTCTTCCATCCAGGTGTACTTACACATGGATTTGTGGGCTTACTAGCTAATATTTGTCTCTACCATTGAACCATGACTTCTTTATACCATCTCAGGAAGTAGATGTGTGTTGTTCACCACTGAGTGTACACTCAGAGCACTGGATAGCATCTGGCACACAGTGGCATTAACTAAATAAAGGAGTCCTAACCAAATATACCACCTCCCCTTCTCCTTTTATCTAACAGGTATAGATAAATGCGAATAAACTGGCCAGGATGGTGACCAGTGGACACTTCCAACCTCCAGTAGGCATCTTTCCCAAAGGATAAAGCTTAGCACAGGAGGGGGAGGGGAAGGGGAAGGGAGATGGAAGGAGACACGATTATTATCAGAATAAATAGGATTATTATTAGCAAATAGGCTTTCTTTGATCTTCCATTCTGTCACAGACAACTACACAACACAGGCACTCAATTCACTTTTTAACAAAGAATTAGTCGAACTTTTGCTCAATTTTTAGGAAAAAATACAAACTACTCCCACTATTGGATCAATAGCAATTTTTTCCCTAATTCTACAAATTAAAAAGTGATTTCAAAATCTCTTTCCTAAAATACCTGAAATTTCCCAACCTCTTTCCCTCTCCTGATTTTTCTAAATCCAGATATAATTCACAAGCCATAAAATTTGAGGTTTAGTACAAAACCCAGTGTGTATCCACTATCACCAATTCTAGAAATTTCATCATGATGCCCACCTTCTTCCTCGCTCCGTCCCCCCCCCAAAAAAAAAACCCAAACCAAGCAGCCATTATCCTGTATCCCTCCCTCCCCCAGTCCCTGGAACCCACTAATACACTGTTTGCTATGGACTTTCCAGTACTTTTTTTTACATTCATGAAACTGAAACACAGAGATATAAAATAATTTAGAGTGTTACAAGAGTTACTAAGAGAGCAGAATTTAAAAAAAACCCACATGTTTATAGTAACTTAATTTAGTGGATTATAACAAAGAGAAAGTGAAAATATGTTCAGCATATTCTATTCATGTCCTAAAGGTGGCTATAAGACATCTGATGGGGGCTGGGAAGGTGGTTCAGTGGTAGAGTGCTTGCCTTGCATGCATAAGGCCCTGGGTTCAATTCCTCAGCACCACATAAGCAAAAAAAAAAAAAAAAAGCCGGAAGTGGCGCTGTGGCTCAACTGGTACTAGCCTTGAACTGAAGAGCTTAGGGGCAGCGCCCGGGCTCAGAGTTCAGGCCCACGACCGGACCCAAAAAAAAAACAAAAAAACAAAACAAAACAAAAAGACATCTGATGATATGGTTAAAGTACCTTCTGTAGCGGTATGAAAACTGTCACAATTAATATACAACTGTACAATTAATATACATCATAAAAAGTTTTTAAAAGAGACCAGATAAAAGCAGTGTTCTTAGAATAACCAATCTGAGGCAGTGTCTCATCTAAGAGAGATGAGGTTGTAGGGTGTTAGAATCATTAAAGAGGGGCTGAAATGTGGGTCAAGCAGTAGTACTTGTCTATCAAGTGAGAAACCTGAGTTCAAGCCCCAGGAATGTCAAAAATAAAAAAAGAAGAAGAAGAATGAAAAGCTTAACTTATCTGTTATGTCATTAATGTGTACACAGGAGAAATAATCCCATAGACTAAAATCATCACAACCCATTTGCAAAAATAACTAGCCACACATTTTATTTTATGTCTTAATCAACACTACAAACACCATTATCAAAAAAAGAAAAAAAAAGAAACTTCATAACACAAAAAAGTTTGTCATTTAAGAGATTAATCTGTGCCTGTTCAAAAATATTAAACAATTTAAAAAGACCAATACTGAAACTATGTATTTTATTAAGTAAAATTTAGATGCTAAAACAACGGTATTCAATGTAAAAACTAATCTCTTGTCCCCAAACTAGAAAATTCTAATTTGCTAACATGAATGCATACACAAGTGAGTAAACAATTTTTATCCCACAAATAAGTTATATGACGTTATAAAGACCCTTCTGATGACTATATTAACATTTTTAAAATAAAAATGACTGTTAAGAATGCTACATAGTCAACCCTGTACATTGAAATAGTGAATAAAGTGGAAAATTCTTGTTCAATTTGTGAAATGATTATTAAGCATGTAAATTAGCTTAAAAGGTCAACTCTTAATTGTCTACAGCAAAAGAGAGCTGTGGTACCAATAAATTAGATTGAAAAAATGAAAATATATTTGTACCTGTCATTACAGTATATTTTTAGAATCAAATTGGAACATACCTACATATAAAAACATGAGTCATGTTTCTCTGTTAAAGCATGTTATTATCAGGGATGAACAATCTAACTATTGTGAATTATTGATATAAATAAAGCACTAGCCTAAAATTTCTTCCAAAAAGATTGCTGGGTCTCACCATCAACTTAAATTTAAAAAATTAATATTTTAGTTTTAAAAGCTTCTTTTTGCTTTTGATAGGAACAGTAAGATGTGAAAATAAAGAATAATTCAAACAGGTACTTTAAGAATGCATCTTTTTTTTCTCATATGATTGGGGGCTAAGAAAAACACAGAAAAAGATCATTTTTTAAATAAATTAAAAATAGGAATTTATTTTTTAAAAAAGACTGGGCAAAGGGAGAGAGAGCTGTATAGTTAAGAGCACTATTATGAATTTTTCTTAAATGAATACCAGAGCCAAGCATGTTATACATAGAAGCTAGACAAGTCTTTGATAAACTTTAAGGTTGCTGGAAGCTTACAAAGACTACTAACATATTCTCAACTTTAAGAAGCAGAACAGAAACAAAAGCTTGGATCTGGTGCCTCATGCCTATAATCCTAGCTGCTCAGGAGGCTGAAATCTAGGGATTGCAGTTCTAAGCCAATTTGGGCAGAAAAGTCTGTGAGACTCCTACCTCCAATTAACCACCAGAAAACCAGAAGTGGAGCTGTGGACAAAAGCTCAGGGACACCATCCAGCCTCTGAGTCGAAACCCAAGACTGGCAAATACACAATAATCTCAATTACCATAGTGATTTTAAATTTTTGACATGGCCATTCTACACAATTCCTTAAATTCAGATTTTGCAAAGTTCCCACTCTCTATGTCATCAAGTAAACACTGAACACTCCTTAGGAATACTTGTGGGCTAATTTGTTATGGAGTGTACAGAAACCGAGATTTAATTCTAAGTGCAGCCTGTGATTTCTGGATCTAACATTGGTATGAAAGCAGTAAAGATACTTCAAAACAAAAGTATGTTTGCTTTTCACATGATTTAGTTTGGAAATAATATTCTTAGTCAAAGATTACTTTTAGGGCACATAAGGTTTTTTTTTGTTTGTTTGTTGTGTGCTGATCCTGGGGCTTGAACTGAGGCAGGGCCTGGGTGCTGTCCCTGAGCCTCTTTATGCTCAAGGCTAGCACTCTCCACTTGAGCAACAACACTTGCAACTTTTTCTGAGTAGATCATTGGAGATAAAGAGTCTCATGGACTTTTCTGCCCCCGCTGGCTTCAAACCATGATCCTCAAAAATCTCAGCCTCCTGAGTAGCTAGGATTATAGGCATGAGCCACTGGGGCCCAGCTAGAGCTTAGAAGTTTTAAAAAACAAAACTGGTTCAAGAACTGTCAAAGTGAAATGACTACCAGAAGCAACTGCTTCAGGTGAGCCCAGCTCACTCAGTTTAAAAAAAAAACACCACTCTTTTCCAGCTCACAAACATTGTAGCAAACATTGCTCAATATTACCTATGTTAGAAGTGAAGATAGGAAAGCTGTAATAGAAATTGCACAATGAATGAGTCTGAGGAGAGACTGTATAATCAACATTTCATAGCTGGAACATTCATAAATCACCTACAGATGAGGAAACTGATGAGCAAGTGCAATAAAAATGACTGGATGAAAATCATATTCCTCAGCTAAGCCGTTCATTCATTCATTCATTCACCCACTTACTAAAAGCTGCCTAAGCACAAGACTGGTAGGGGCTACGAATAGGCAAGAAGGCAGCACTGACAATTGTCAATGCAGTCTTCTTTCCTGTCGATTTTAGGACAAATCCTTAAATTTCCAGATCAATAGGAACTTGTGGAAGAGTTCCAGTCTTTGCAGAAGTGGGTCTACTTTCAGTTTCGCATATTTCAGTAAACACATTTTGGGTCTAACTTTCAGAGAGGTCTCAGTTGTGTTTACTTCAAATGATTAAGCATTAAAAACAAAGAGATGGATAGTATTCTGAATGAATCCATTCCTAGTACATTCATAACTTAGGGAAGTGCAATTCAAAAATGCCCTACTCATAACAAGTTCACCGAGGGAGAGCATGCAAAATTAGAGGTATTGATATACAGATAAGTTAAGTCCAATAGTTCAAGTTCACGAAGTGTGGAATGTAAGTATCTTTCCCTTTCATCCAGACTTCTAATTGTCTGGGATTTCTGTATGTTAAAAAGCCCTCCAAACTCACATTCAAACCAGGGAAAGAAATATCTAAACCAGGCTCTTTTCTCTACATCTGCTTTTCTTTGATTTCTATTTGGTTAAAGGAAAAGTAGCTTAAAAGTGAACCAGATTCTATGTAATCAAAATAGTAATAATTCCAAATGCATACATTTAAGTTTTGGTTTTAAAAAATGGGATGTGCAGTGAACACAACCACCAGCATAACTCATATTTCACTTTGCTTGGACTTTTACATTCTTAAACATTATGTCTGACACTTAAAAAGTGTTTTGTGTATCTCAATTCACAGTTTCTTTCAAGAGAAGTAAGAGACCCTATCAACAAAGCTTTTACATAAAACAACAACAACCCATCAGTAAGGCACGGATATATTAAACAGCAGCACTCTGCCCCCAGTTTCAGTGTAATATTCCTGAGTGAACCACAACTCTCTGGTCCCTTCATAGATGACTGCTGGATGACTTCCGGTAAAACATAATCTTCACTGGGACTCTCTGCCTTTTGAGTTATTGTCAGCTCATGAGCAAAACAAAACAAAAATCCGTTGTGCTTTTCTATTTCTCAAAACTCCAGATCTGATTTTTATCTAGGGCATCACAAGTCCTCATTTGTACACCAGGTCGGCCCTCAGGTGTCCGATAAGCACTAAGACACTCTCCCGAGTGTGGATGAAATATGGTCCCATCTGGTTTAAAATGCCAAATAATATTGACTGGGACGGGGAGTCCATCTTTAGGACAGGTTTGCATTCCTACATGATTTTTTTGTTCAGGGACCACTGCACATAACTCGGTGACAGAATTAAACCTTATTTCATTGTTCGACGTATATTCGAAGAACTGATTGCCTCCTTGACCGTGACATCCGAACAATGAAAGGTTCGCACCTGTGGGGTTGTTTTCGGGAGAATTGTAATCTAAACATTCGGAAGAGATGCCCAGACTGCGAATAGCCCCGTGCCAGCCTGGCCTATCTTCTGGTACATGTAAGTTAGGGAACACGTTATTCAAATACCAGTCAAAACTTCTGCATCTCAGTCGTTCTCGTAGTATTTTTCTTTCAGAAATATCCCCATAAGCTTCTTTCCGGGCCGGGGGGTTTCGGTTGTAGAAATGCTCTTTGTACTTATCCATCCATACTTCCGCGGCCCGAGCAGTATTCTGTAGGAAATTGGGGCGGGCGTACGGCGCCCGCTTAGGGAACACATGGCCCACGTGTGAACACGGGTGGATCTCCAGCGTGCCGCCGCACTGCCACACCCGAAAAGACAGCTCTAGGTTCTCACCTCCCCACACCTCCATGCCCGTGTCGTATGTTCCCAGGTACTCAAAATACTTCTTGCTGACAGCAAACAACCCTCCAGCCATCGTGGGCGATCTGATGGGATCGATTCTTGAGGTCCGCCGGTCCCTTTCGTGTTTGGGGACGGAATGCCACTGGAATGTCAAACGCCAGTCAAACCCACCAATCATGGGCTCTCCGGTCTGCATATAGAACTCAAAAGTATTCCAGTCAATGGTATCGATAACGGGACAAACAATTGCTGTCTCATCACTACCAATCCTTTCTAGCAGGGGCTCCAGCCACCCAGAATTACACTCGCAGTGACAATCCAGGAAAGTGAGGACATCCCCAGTGGCGAAAGTGGCCCCAATTAGGCGGGCTCTCACCAGACCCTCTCGCTTATTGGTTCGAATCAAGCGGACGCGGTCCAGATTACTGATGTAGGTTTCGAGCTGTGCCTTCAAATAAACTCTGTCGCTCAGGTCATCCACCAAGATGATCTCCTTCAAGAGGACCGCAGGGGAGGTTTCTAAAACACTGTGAATGGTGCGGAGCAGAGTGGACCAGGCTTCGTTATAGAAAGCGATGATCACCGAGGTGGTGGGGAGTTTCCTGTAGTTGAACTTCTGGGACTTACACTCGTACATCCTTTTATCCTCGATGTGGCGGTGCAGGGAAATCCTGTCACTGAGGTAAATGTTAATGGCATATCTCTCGATGAGTTCCTCCTGCTGCTTCTGTTCGCCCTCGCTCAGCTGGAGCTTGCTCGGTCTCCCCCACTCCCCAAGCGCGCGGGAATCTGCGGGGGGCTTCTCATAAAGAGGGCGAGACAAATCTTCTCCCGTTTGGTCGAGGTTTGAGAGCCGTCCTGACCCCCGGGGCCCGGCTTGGCTGGCCCCGGGCCAGGCGTGCAAAGTGGAGACGGAGAACTCCACCAGGATGTAAGCTACTGTGAGAAGCGCCAGCAGCAAGCAGCTCTTGCCTGCCCATGTCCACCTCACGGCCATCCGGATCCGCATGGCCGGGGACAGGGTGGGGGGGCGCAGACGTGGCCACCGGGCCCCCACGCCGGCCGGCGGGGGTGGGGTGGGGGAGGAGCAGCAGTCGTCCCACGGCTCAGGTAGGGGAGCACTTCACTTCCCAGCACGTCTCCCCTTTCAGCCAGGCGTTCAGCTCCTTTCCAGCCACCGGAGTTGGCTCACTTGGTGGGGGTTTCCCCACCCCGCGCGCACACACGCGCGCGCGCGCACACACACATACCCCGGCCCCAAGGACCTCGGTCTCCGGTACAGCCCAACTCCTCCAGTCCCCACTTCCTCCTCCTGCTCGGCCCAGAACTTTTCACAAACTCTCCAGCCAACACCCCACCTATCCCGGCCGGGCGCAAACCCCTCCCCTTCCCGCCCGCGCCACCTGCTGGTGAGTCTGGGGAGACGCCGCGGGGTGAGGCCCGGCCCGCGGGCCTGGGGGGGCGGCGCCGCGGGGGATGGAGACGGGGAATGCCCAAGGGGGGCCCCCTTCGCCCCCAGACGACAGATGGCAGCCAAATGCACCTTTGGCGTCCGTACACGAAAGAGAGGCAGAGCGGGAGACTCACCGAGTTGTTTGCCGTTGGGGCTGAAGCTCACGGAGGTGACCGCAGCTTTGTGACCTTTAAAATAACGCTCCAAGACGGGGTCCTCCTGGAAGCAAGGGGAGGGGAGCGTGGGGTGGGGAAGGCAGGTGCAGACCCGGGCTCCGGAGACCCCGGGGCTCGGCGCTGCTCCCCGCCCCGGGCTCCGGGCCGTGCCCTCTCCGTCCCCGCCCGGGCGCGGGGCGCCCACGGAGGTGCGCCTCCGTCCCTGCCCCGGCCTCCCTCCGCGGGGAGCAGGGCAGCAGGCCCCGGGGGGCGTCCCGGAGGCGGCGCCCGGCCTCGGCACTCGGAGCCCCCCCGGGGCGATTCTGACGCGGGCGCTCCACGGACACCCTGCGAGGATTCTAGGCGCCCGTGGGGACTCCGGAGACCCCGGCCGGCCGGGGCGGCGGGGCGGGTGGTGGGGAGGTGCGCCGTGGGGCCCGGGCGGGGAGGAGTCGGGGTCGCCCCCCGTCCGCCTCCCGCCGGTCCTTACCGGGGCGGAGGCCATGAGGGGCGCGGCGGGCGCCGGGCTCCGGCGGGAGGGGGGGATCCGGGGAGGGGGCGGGACGCGGCCGGCGGGGGTGTGGGGGGGACCGTGCGGCGTCCGGAACTGTCCGCTCGGAGCGGCGGCGCCTCCCGGTCACTACAACAACGGCGGCCCAATCAAACCCCGCGCTCCAGGCGTGGCCAGACGAGTCCCGAGAGCCAGGGCCCGCGCGGAGCTGTGTCCCCCCCCCCCGGGGGCGGGGCGCTGGAGGTGAGGGGCTGCCCCGGCCCCTTGACGTCAGCGTTCTCCGAGGGTGGGTGCCCGGAAGAGGGTCTGTAGCTGGGGGGAAAGGGGGCGGGGGAGAAAGGGTGATTCTTCATCGATGCCATCGGAGTTCTTTTGTGTGTTAAAGAGACAGCGCCCCCGAGGCTTTTAAACTGGTCTCTAAGGCGGGTGAATGGGAAGCGGGACTCTGATCACCCGGTGAAGCGGTGAACAGTTAGTTTATCGAAAGGAGCTAAATTCCCTGGAGGACTTGCCACCGTAGTTCGTTAACTTTCTCTGCCTCTCACCTTCTAGATACGGCTCCCCCTGTCCCCCGTGCTTCGGTTCATACCTGCTCAAGCTTTACTTACTGAAGCCCCCCCCCCCCCCCCCCCGCCCAAACTTAGCAGCATATGTTTTTGTTTCAGTTACTAGACCGCAGGGTAATTGTAACCATCCCTGCAGTAGGCTTCTTTATACACAGTATTGCGTTGCAGCGACAGTATGAAGTGGTAAAGTTACAATGTTATTGTTTGCTAATTATAAGCTTAGGTCTTAAATAACAGTTGAGGCTACAACAGATATAAATTCTTCAAGTCTGTACTCTTTCTTTAAACCTTGCCTCAAAGCATGCAGGGCATAACTGAGAATTATATAGAGAATAAAGATTTGGTGCAACAAGATGTTAGGTTAGACTGCACAATAAGATTATTCTATGTAAATGAAACGTGTGCCCATACCTTAATTACAAATTATTTTAATTAGTTGTGTAGTGACTGAATTGAGTTGCAATGACTACTGTACATCCGATAAAAACAGTAGAAAATGACTTAAGATTGCAAGACAGCATTACTCTAATCCAAGTATGTTTATTAAATATGTTTAGAGATGTAAAAAATACTTTCTATGTCCATAAGAACTCAGCAATCTAGAGTGCTGAATCTCATGTTTTAGTAGGTGTGGGTCCACCCTTAGAGATGTTTCAACCTGCACGGGGCAAATCTAGGGTTCTCCAGATAAAACAGGAGCCTCAGGTGATTGCTGTGTGAAACTCAGCTGTGTGTGGTGAGAAACACTGCTCTATTATTGGATAAGATGTGTTAAGAGGACTGAAGCTAGGCGCTGGTGGCTCGTGCCTATTAATAATAGCTACTCAGGAGGCTGAGATCTGAGTGAGGCTTGTGGTTCAAAGCCAGCCTGGGCAGAAAACTCTCCAATAAACTACTCAAAAAAAAAAAAAGGTGGAAGTAGTGTGCGGTGGCTCAAGTAGTAGAGTGCTTGCCTTGAGCCTAAGAAACTCAGATAAAGTTCCAGGAGTGGAGTCCAAGCCTCAGGCATTTAAAAAAAAAAAAGTATTGTTATGTCATTGGGGATGCACCTAATGTTCCTCAGTTCCTGAGTTTTGTAGTAGGAAGACCCCTACTCAGGCAGGGAAGCCCACCTAGTCATCTGGAGTGACAGAGCCCACCGCAACAAAGTTGTTAACAAAGTTGTTAACTTTGTTGAGAAGGTTCCTACACTGACCAGCCAGGGCCACAGCACAGGCTTGGGGCGGGGGGGAGCTGATACTGCGACCCTGAACAGCCCCATTCTTTGGTTTGTAAAGGCAAAATCCATGAGGTCGAGCCTGGTCACGCACAGGTGACCAATAGGGTCATACAAGACCATACACAGGTGGCCAATAGGTGGAGTATACCGTAAGCCTGTTCAAAAGGCAGGGTTTACTGTAAGCACGTGGTGTTGCCAGTTGGAGTCAGTCCTTAACTGAACAATCAAGGTGGGTTAGGTTGTTAAGGGGAGGGGGACCTAGAGGCATTCTTTCCATTCCAGGAACTGGGCTGGTTGGAGCCAAGGTCGAGTTAACCTTGCTTAAAGGATTTTTCTAAAATCCCTAAAACAAAGGCAAAGCCTGGAAAGAAGCTGCACCAGCTCAGGTCTCCTCTCAGGGCCTACTTCAGTATGATAGTTAAGATTAAGATACTTAAGACTAAGACATTTTCCCAGGTGTGGCAAGAGACTGGTGAACACTAGGAAGATAGTAAAGACTGATTTATTAGCAAAACAGAACTATGCTTTGAAGGATGAAACTGACGTTCAGGAAATCAACTGCCTGGGTACTGAACTCCACAAAGGGTTAGACAGGCAATTAGATAAGGAAAGTAAGGAGAGCAGATTGGGCTGGAGGTTTTACATCCAGCAGGGTGGGATTACTAGGAGGAGAGAAACTGAGGCAGTCCCCTTGTGGCCTTCCGAAAATGCTTTGAAGACTGCACTGCTGGGTGTAGGAAGGGGAAGGTGAACACTTGTGCATTTGATTCTCTTTGCCCTTCCCATTTGGTCCTCTTTTGGCCTACTTGTTTTAGCACTGTCCATGAAGGTCATTTAGCAGCCCTGACTCGTTCAAGGGTGATACCTGATCTTGATATATAAAGAGTGAGCTTCAAAAGATTATACAAATTCTCAAACAACAGCCCAATAAATAAGTGGGCTAAAGTCTTAAAGAGAGACTTCTCTGAAGAGGAAAGAAGGATGGCCAATAGACACATGAAGAAATGCTCAACCTCTCTAGCCATAAAAGAAATGCAAATCAAAGCAACATTGAGATACCACCTCACCCCAGTTAGAATGGCTATAATCAAGAACTCTATAACAACAGATGCTGGAGGGGATGTGGACAGAAGGGAACCTTACTGCATTGTTGGTGGGAGTGTAAACTTTTCCAACCACTTTGGAAAGCAGTATGGAGGTTCCTCAAAAGCCTCCACATAGAGCTCCCCTATGACCCAGCAATCCCACTTTTGGGCATTTACCCAAATGATCACAAACAAGACCATACTAAAGCTACCAGCACAACTATGTTTATTGCAGCATTATTTACCATAGCTAAGATATAGAACCAACCCAGATGCCCCTCAGTAGATGAATGGAACAAGAAAATGTGGTATATATACACAATGGAATTCTATGCCTCCATCAGAAAGAATGACATTGCCCCATTTGTTAGGAAATGGAAAGACTTGGAAAAAATTATATTAAGTGAAGTAAGCCAGGCCCAAAGAAACATAGGTCCCATGGTTTCCCTTATTTGCAATAACTAGTATATGTCTGAGACAAGCAGAAAAGGTCAGATATGTTGGTGTTAGGTGAAATTAACCCCAAGATAAGTATTCAAATGTTTTTCTTTCTTGCAATTGTTTCTAACATATTTATAAGATGGATTTCTTTGTTGCTTTGTATGTCCCTCCCCCATGCTATAACCCCTGCTTTCACTGTATTTGATGTTGGTATAATTTGTGGAGGGGAAGGGGAAAAACAAATCGTTTAAATAGGGATCCAGGTGGATCCATTTTTCGTTATGTCGAAAAATGAACTTTACAACTTTGGCCAGGAGGGGGGAGGGGGGAGGGGGAAGGGGGGGAGATGGGAAGGGATGGGAAGGGGAAACAAAGGAGGAGGCAACAATGCTTGATAAGAAATGTACTCATTATCTTGCCCATGTAATTGTAACCCCTCTGTATGGTATTTTCACAATTAAAAAAAAAAGATTAATATAGCGGTTACCTTATTCTCAGACCCCAGGATCTGGCCATTTGACCTTTCAGAATGAATTCTTTTAGTCCAGGGTATTTCTGACCATGAGTGCCTAGCTGCCTATGCTAACTATAGCAAGGCTGGGTGTAGTTTATTGGCAGAATACTTAGCATACACAAGGCATTGGGTTTGGTCCCCAGCATGTGTGTGTGTGTGTGTGTGTGTGTGTGTGTACGCGCACACACACACACACACACACACACAATGATGGAGAAATGAAGTGTGGGAAGACTCTAAGCTTTGCAGCTTGCAGTCTAAGTTGTGCTTTCTAAAATACACTGGCATGCCTAGAAATAGTGCTGGGTGCTGATGGGAATGTAAAA